GTAATTATTTTGTTACCATTCACACATTGTAAAATTTATTTAAAAAAAAGTCCCACTTGGTTTCTAGCTTTTTTTTCCAGGACAGAGGTTTTTTTGAACCAGTGGTAAAGTAAAAAATGACTTTCAATAACATGTAATCAATATTGAATAAAAATTGAACGTGTTAACCCTGGAAGCCGTGTCCCGAGCTACTAATAAGATTGGCATAAGCAGCTCGGGTTCGTCCTTCCCGCTTCTCGCCCCTCACGCCCCACACGGTTGCCCTGTCTAGACGACTTCGTCGGACGACTGTATTGATTTATAGACTGTGTCAATTCTTTGAGTTCTTTGACGACAATCTCTACTCTGTGCGACTGTTTGATTAAAGACGATTATGTGTTTAACGTTGACTTCCAATCGAATGTTAATGTGTAATGATTGCTTTATTTAATTTAATTTAATGTATTTGTAACACTGTATTATTTTTAATTTTACAGCACTCCTCCATACAAAACCTATGTGGAGTTTATGTGTATTCTAAATTTCATAATCATCCATGCGCGGAATATGCTTAAAAAGTGGTACAAAGTTTTCTCTTCACGGATTTATATAGACGTGCATAATTGCTGCCCTGTAGGACTCCAGCAACGAGGAAGCGCTTCGAAGAGCCAGTTCCCTCTACTCGATAACGAAAATAGTGGTTAGCAAGGAAAGATCTGATGATGAGAGTGAGCTTATCAGGCACGTTGAGTTTATACAGCCTGTAGACCTTGTCATTTTCGACGCCGAAGAAAATGGCACCGTTATTAAGGGTCCGGTGATTGCTTGTGTGAGAGAAGCCTTCCAGAATGTATACCGTTAGGCGATAAATCTGATTTGTGCACGAGTGTGTGGATCTAAAGTCGAACTCGTCGGGAATAAACTTGTTTGCGAAGACGGATTTTCGGAGGCAAATCCGTATGATGTGACAAAACTCGCGATACCATCCATGTCATCTGGATAATTGGCAATCCACCACTGTGCGATACGGACCACACCGGACCGACACGATATAAGTACCTTCAAGAAAATAGCCTATTGTCTGCGATTCCCCTGGTGCTGCACTTGTTCATGGGCGGTGGTAGTCACTTACCATCAGGTGAGTCACATGCTCGTTTGGCCCCTGTACTATAAAAAAACATTCACTCGTGGTCTACGTCCAGTCGTTGATCCAAAAAACTTGGTAATATCTCCGTGTATTAGCGGCGTAAGAGAATCCACTGCCCTATAATACCATCCTCAGGATGTCGTAGGAGGCAGCAGCGGTAAATGGAGCAGGAGTTGGACAGCACCATCTTTCTTATCACAATTCAAAATAATAAAAACTTGCAATTGCCCCTCCCCCCCCCCCCACCTACCAAGTGTGGTAACTATGCCATATACTCCCTATAAATCAATGTTTGTGGAAGACCCACGCTATGAGCTTTGGATAGGTGTAGCGTATTAACTCTAATCAAACCTTAGTGAAACAAATGTTAATGAATTGTTTGTTTTCTAGAGATATTTTTTGTAATGTAATGTAGGCTAATATTTATTTTACCTACAATGATTTACGCTAGTAATATATAAGTCAATGTTTACCTACAAATTATTAGTAAGTAATAGAAAGTTAAAATACCAACAGAAACCAATTGTCCCAAGCTTTTTAAACCAATTGCCTCTTTGGCAGACTGCACAAATAAATCTGGTTAAGTAACACTGGTTTTCATTAGAAGTGACTTCTCTGTTACCGATAAATAAATTGAAGTTATCCGCAAAATCTACGTCAGCTAAGTTTCCGTTCAAGTAATTCAATTAAAGATTGTTATATACCTGGGTGGGAGTTCTGTTATTATAACTTTCAATAGAAGGCATGCAGGAGTTTAGAAACGCAATAATTACTTTAGATATCTATTTCCAACTTAATTAAAGACCTTTGCACACCGACTTGATGATCATCCGCGTGTCAGTGTGCAAAGATCTAATTATAGATATGCCTTGTTGACAAAGGTTCTATTTGTATAATTTAGGTACTTTATCAGGTGCCTAATAAAAGTATCTAAATACATTAAGGAAAACTAGATGTTTCAGAAATAATTAAATAATACGTGCATGCCTTCTCTTAAAAACAATATTGAAAACTGATACATATGTAAACGTAGGAATTACGAGTATTGTTTCACGACACTAAAAGAAAAACACTTTTGTATAATATTTTGTTTATTTTCTTGTTCATTTATTTAATATACCATAAAAATGGGTACCTACACAATAAATTAAAGCCATATTTATTTTATACGACAGTTCTCTTATTGCTTAACAATACTGATATTATTGTAAATATTATACTATACTATCTTAAGACTAAAATCATCATTGTGTAATAATCTTAAACTTTTACGTTAATATAAATTAAAACCTGAAACACTACGTACCTCGGTAGTTAATTTGCTAAGCAGGGCAAGTTAAGTACTTGATAAGATGCTGACACACCTCCCGCTGTTATTTCACATCCATATATCTTCCTATACATACTCGTTGGATATGGATACTTTAGATTTAGCCCATCTTCAATATACTGCTAATTTAGTCTATAAGTTTCCATCTGTAGTTAAAGGTGGCTTCCCCGTGGCTGTTCAACCTATTTATGGACAGTTGTTTGCAAAATTTGAAAGTTGAAGAATGCGGATTAAGAATGGGTGAGTTAACCGACAAATGCCTTTTGTACGCCGATGATCAAGTTATTCTTGCGTCGTCGGCGGCCGAGTTGCAAATGATGGTTACATTAATGAACGGATCATTAAAAGAAAGGGGTATGAAAGTGAACGTAAGTAAGACGAAGGTTATGGTTTTTGAAGGAGAAGAAAGTAAAACGAATTGTGAAATAAGAATAGAAGGGGAGTTGATCGAGCAAGTAGATGAGTTTGTATATTTGGGCTGCGTATTTAGCAGGGATGGGAGATATGATAAGGATAAAGAACGACGAGTGAATGCGGGAAATAGAGAATGCTTCACTCTTAGTCATGTGTCGAAAAAGGCACGTATGGCAATTCACAATACTATGTTGGTCCCTACTTTAACGTATGGTAGTGAAAGTTGGGTGTGGCTGAAGAAGCACGGGAGTAGAATAAACGCAGTAGAAATGCGGTCGTTAAGGAGTATGTTAGGGCTGAATCTGAATGACAGGGTAAGAAATTGTGTAATAAGAGAAGAGTGTGGTTTGCAAGATGATGTTGTGACCAGGATTAAGAAAGGAATGCTTCGGTGGTATGGTCATGTGGAAAGAATGAATGAGGAAAGAGTGACAAAGGAAATTTATGGTGCAGAAGTGAATGGCAGAGTCGGAAAGGGACGTCCTTGGCGAAAATGTATCGACCAAATTGGCCATTTATTGAAAACGGGCCAAATTAGGAGTACCCTTAACCGACGAGCATGTATGCGTAGGTGTATGGATGTGAAGGAGGCAAGAGAGGTGTGTCAGGATCGTGCCAAATGGAAGTCTGTAGTCTCTGCCTCTCCCTCTGGGTGACAGGCGTGAGTGTTTGTGTTTTGTTTATGTTTAAATTTCCATCTAAAATCATCGTTTATCAACTCTGAGTCGGACTGAGCTGAGCGAGACGATTAAACTGCTTTCTAGAACGTTCCTTATTTGAAATTCGACTTCCATGGGACGATAGATTCGCATACGTTGCCATCACACGCACCAGATGAACGACATACATTACTGAAAGTCTTAATTTTGCGGATCGTTGAAGTAACTAAGTAATAATAATAAAATTAATAATAACCTAGAAATCTAAATGCGGTTGTCAGTCTCAACGGAGAGTAACCATCTGCGCAGTACTGCATTATATGATATTTTGCACCACTATGCGCTCGCATAGGTGAACCTTCTATATTCCCTCCATCTCATGGTACGGTGGAACGTCAAACCGAAACGAACTACACTACCGGAAATCCATATCCTGAGATGTTAATGTTGTTAGCATATTGGCTTTTAAAATCCTTTTGTATCAGGAAAGACCACCGAAAGAATGACCAGAGAGAGACCAGCCAAAGAAACAACGGCTTTACTTCCTGACTACTAAGTGCTCCTAAGATTTCTTGATGGTAACGAGGTAGAGCCACACTGCAGCTATATTATGGTTGTAGCAAGAATTGGTCGATTCGGCCGGCGTAAGACCACGCTCGCACAGTATGCCAGCACCAGCGTAATATAGCAGCTTGACACTGCTGTGTTTCGTATGGTGAGTGTTTAGAACTGGAGACCATGGGGTAACAATGCATCTGCAGTTTGATTCTTAATTAAGGATAAATGTAGATGTGTATGGGATGGATGTGCTCATTTTTTACCCTTATTCTATAAAAATTATCTTAAAATATTTTAGTTACTTCTAAAAAGTTAAGTACTCGTTTCACAGATACTGGACGCTTGACTTTCATAGTACGAGTATATAGGCAAATTCAATTTGATCTCCATCGGCTCGTCTAAAATTTAATTTATCAATTTAGGATTTATTATAATATAATAATAATTTTGGGAAAATATTGCGACATTATATAACGTAATAATTTAAAATTTTATAGGGATACATTTTGATTGTCAAATCACTGGTGAAAATGGACTAAGCTTACTTTTATATGGCTGTTTATTTTTAGGGTATTAATCGAAAAATATTGTAAGGGACTCCTTTAAGATTCCAAAAGCTCAAAATTGATGCGCAAAATTAAGCAATATAAAGCAAAAAGAAAGTAGATATCTACATATGTTTTTAATAATGCTTTTAAAATTTTACAAACAAGACTTATCATTACATTATAGCAGCGAGGATTGCTTACATTGTTACATTGTTTATTAAAATTTAAAAGAAAGTTCGAAGGGTAAGTATAGACTAGAGGGATTTGCGTAAAAATTTTAAGTGACGCACAGCTTACACTTGACCAATTTTTGTCACATTATCGAGCGTTTATTTTCCATTAAATCATCAATCAGCCTATAAAATATGTATGCAAGAGCATTGAGAGGAAATTTGGTGTGGCTTGATAGAAGATTGAGAAAACATTTGGTGTGGCTTGAAAGAAGATTGAGAAAAGATTTGGTGTGGCTTGAAAGAAGATTGAGAAAAGATTTGGTGTGGCTTGAAAGAAGATTGAGAAAAGATTTGGTGTGGCTTGAAAGAAGATTGAGAAAAGATTTGGTGTGGCTTGACAGAAGATTGAGAGAAAATTACGTGTGAATTGCAAGAATAGTGAAAGAAAATTTGATGTAGTATTCAAGAAGATTGAGAGAAAATTTGATGTGGCTTGAAAAAAAGATTGAGAGAAAACTCGGTATGGCTTGAAGGAATATTGAAAGAAAATAAGGTGTGACTAGCAAGAAAATTAAGAAAAAAATTGGTGTAGTTTTCAAGAAGATTGAGAGAAAGTTTGGTTTGGCTTGAAGGAATATTGAAAGAAAATCCTATACCTTTAAACGAGCAATTCTTGTATATATATAATCGGAATCTCGGAAACGGCTCCAACGATTTTCATAAAATTTTGTGTGCAGGGAGTTTCGGGGGCAATAAATCGATCTAGCTAGGATTTATTTTTAGAAAATGTCTTTTTGTCCGTGTTTTTAGTCAATGAAAAACTGCTACAATATCGTTAGAATAAGAAGGTAAATTTTGACAGTTTATTAATGGTTACAGATAGCTTAATTGGTATATTCGGCGGTCACAAAATCGTAATACCATGGTTCGAGCCCAGACCGGCCGACCGACATATGCAATTTGTGTCTAAATATAATTTCCAAAACACACGAATCAAAAAAAAAACCGAGCGAAAAATACCGAGCAAAGCTCGGTCAACCGGGTACTAAGGTGTAATTAGCAAGAATATTGAGAGAAAATTTGGTGTAGTTTTCAAAAAGATTGAGTGAAAACTTGGTGTGGCTTGCAAGAAGATTGAGAGAAAACTTGGTGTGGCTTGCAAGAAGATTGAGAGAAAATTTAGTGTGGCTTGCAAGAAGACAGAGAGAAAACTTGGTGTGGCTTGAAGAAAGATTGAGAGAAAATTTTGTGTAGCTTGCAATAACATTAAGAGAAAACTTGGTGTGGCTTGAAGGAAGATTGAAAGAAAAATTTTTGTAGCTTGCAAGATGATTGAAAGAAACTTTGGTGTGGCTTCAACTAAGATTTAAAGAAAATTTCGTGTGACTAGCAAGTCCCTTACACGAGCCGAAACTTTACGACCAAATGAGTGATAGATTGAAGTAGGAGTATCCTGTGGACTTCCTATGTATATAAAAGTACATAGGGATGACAAGATTGTATTGACGTAGCGTAATAGGATACATTGTAGGACGTAGACAACAGTAAGCGTTATGATATCCCCCCCTCCCCACCTTCTTTTACAGGTGATGTCAGTCTCACAACTTGCCTGACTACCCTCACCCCCCCCCTCATCTGCACTACGCACCCTACCTCAGCCCCCTTACCCGTAAGGTAAGGAAGTATAGCACACCGCCTGCAACTTTACAAGGCGCCGATTCGGCCACACATGGAATACTGTTCCTATCTCTTGGCCAGGGTTCCCCAGTGCCAGCTCGTATCTAGCGCAGAGATTCCGAGACCTAGCTCTTTCTAATCGGCTCGACGTACTGGCACTGCTAAGAGATATTGCATCTTCCATGGGGCCTGTTCCGATTAATTGTTTAGACTAATTCCAGCCGCATAACGTGGCGATGCAATTCATTGCATATCGCGACAAAACTGGCAATACCATCCATACCATCTAGAAGATTGGCAGCCAACCACTGTGTGATTTACTAGAAGTTTTCTTACTTCCTTGAGCAATTGACTACCATCACTTCCTTGAGGAATCGACCACGACCACTTCCTTGAGGAATCGACTACCACCACTTCCTTAAGGAATCGACTACCACCACTTCCTTAAGGAATCGACTACCACCACTTCCTTGAGGAATCCACTACCACCAGCGAATTTTCCGATCCAATACTACTTAAGGGCCTTCAATAAAAGAGCCTAATCTTTTTTAAAAGGCTAGCAATGCACCTGCGTTTCCCCTGGTGTTGAAGTTGTTCATGGGTGGCGGTCGACACTTGCCATCAGGTGAGTCGCATGCTTGTTGCCCCATCTTATACAACATGTAACAAAAACCCTGTGGTTACCGTTAACTGGGTTATCAGAATCAGTATCCAAGCGTATAGAAATATTTTTTTTTTTCAAAAAAAGACATTTCAAAAAAATTATGTAAAAAAAAATTAATTTGCAAATTGTATGTTTTTTTATATCCTCTAACTCACACTATTATCGGTAGTGCGGTGACTTTGACAATCCTATTACTCCTCGGCCAATGCAGAGATAATAAAAATTACGTGGTAAAGCCATGCTGCAGCTAAATTAATTGTATAGTTGTAGTACGAATAGGTCGGCTCGACCGGGGACGGACCACGCTCTCACAGCATACCAGCTTAATGCTGCCGTGTTTCGTCTGGTGAGTATAGAGACCCGGAGTCACTTTTTACTCGATTAGAGGCATTCCATCTTAGTCCTCACGGCTGACAACGCATCTTCATTGTGATTCGCAAACGAGGATATATGTAGATGTCTATGGGCCACAGCAACCACTTACCATCAGGTGGGCTGTGTGCTCGCTTGTCATCCTTTACCTATAAAAAAACATACAATTTGCAAATTTTTTTCATTAAAATTAATTTTTTTAAATGTTTTTTTGAAAAAAAAAACTATTTCTATACGCTTGGATACTGATTCTGATAACGCACTTAACGAGAACCACAGGGTTTTTGTTACATGTTGTATAAAAATAGTAACATACGTCTAGAATTTTACTAAACTTTCAATCTCCATGTCATAAAATTTTAATGTCTACAAAAGACAGAATTAACGTATCAATTACGCAGCTCTATTCCATAAGATTGATTACTTGTTCTCGTAACTGTAGGTGATACTATTGCGTTAATTCATTTCTATTAACATATGCGCAGACGCTATGTATTGATTTATTAGGTGCGGCTACCTTTCATACATGTTGGAGGACAATGTGGCATGTTGAGTGAAACAACTAAACACAAACTGGTTACTGCACAAAAAGCTAGCACTAGTTGCAACCAACACACCTTCATTTGGAGTTATAAACACCAATAGAGAACTATTAAATGCAAGAAGCGATAAAAGATATTATTTTTAACTAATTATTTTTATAATTTAATTCAAGAATGATTTTGTTTTTAAAAGCGGAAAGATATTTGGAATAGTGTATTCAAAATATGCAACTCAATATATTTTTGTCTATACGTACCTACATTTAAACACATATACATATTCCAAAACAATTTATGTGGTAAACAAAAAACGGCACGCTATGAAAATTAATGAACGCTAACTTTTTACAGCTTACAGCGCAAAAATTTTTTGTACTAATAGTACGACATAAAGCAGATTGAACAATAATAGTGGGGATGGATTATATTAAAGATTTTTAAATTAATCGGCTAGTATCCACGTCAAGAAAAAGTAATGTCTTACCATTACTTTTTCTTGACGTGGATACTAGCCGATACTAGCCTTAGTTTGAAGAGCATCTCCCTCGCCCCCAGAATTGTGTTTGGGGTAGCGGTGTAGGGATAAGTGGTGACGCTGGTAGTGCATGTTGAGGGAGGTGCTCTTTAAACTAGATAAGGTACGTCGTTTTTATTTTTCACGTAAATCTTAGGTAATTTTAACATATTTTTAGTACATAATAAAAAGACAAAATTATCTTTGATATCAGTTAATAAGTATTAAATATTGATGATATATATATATATATATATATATATATATATATATATATATATATATATATATATATATATTCACAGTAAAATCAGGGAAATGACATTTCCTAACCCATTTTAGGTGTGTAATAATATTATAGCTCGGAAAACCGAAAACTTATGATGGAGCGCCTTGCTTTAAAAAAATTAAGCAATTTAAATAGAAGGTATATATATTTCAGGCTTAAGTATTACATCCACAGAAATCGTAATAATATTATTACTATTTCTGTGATCACATCCATCTCTTGTTTATTATCTTAATATCACTATGTAAATGTAGGAATTATTGCTTCATGACACTAAAAGTAAAACATTCTTATTTGTTATAGAATAAGGGTGACAAACGAGCACACAGTCCACCGGATGGTAAGTGGATGCTGTGGCCTGTAGACATCTACATTTATCCTCGATTAAGAATCAAAACTTCAATGCGTTGTCACCCCTGAGGACTACGATGGAATGCCTCGTTTCCAGTAAAAAATAGTCTCCGGATCTCTACACTCACGTTACGAAACACAGCAGTATTAAGCTGCTAACTCTCTGCTTAAAAATATTGTTACAAGTAAATATTATACTACGACATATTATACTACTATCTTAAATCTGAAATCATCATGCTTAAATAATCTTAAACTTTTACATTAATATAAATTGAAACCTGTAACACGAAGTACCTCCGTTGATAAGCTACTGAGCAGGGCGAGTTCTTGTTTTGAGCGAATCTCTGATAAAATAAGTCCAAAAGTATTGTAACGTTAATTTTTTATAACAGTAAGGGTGACAAACAAGCAGCCTGTATACCCCATGGTAAGTAGATAACGTGGGCAAAAGACATCGAATCAAAAACCAGATGCGCCGTAACCTCTAGGAAACACAGCAGCGTCAGCGTTAGGCTGTGCCACTACCATCGTGATCCATCCCCAGTAAAACAACCTTTATTTATAGGATAAAAAGGACAATCCAGCACGCAGTCCACCTGATGTTAAGTAATTGCTTTAGCCCATAAACATCTACACCTATGCTCGACTACGAATCAAAATGCAGATGCGTTGTCACCCGCGAGGACTAAGATGTAACGCCTCATTTTCAGTAAAAGGTGTCCCCGGTTCTCTACACTACGAAACACACCATACGAAATACAGCAGCGTTGAGCTGCTATTTTTCGCTGGTATCCTGTGAGAGCGTGGTCCTTCCTCGGTCGAGTCGACCCATTCGTACTACAATTATACTACTAACATAGCTGCAACATGGCTCTACCCCGTAACGACTTATTCGTGCTGTAGCCGTAATACGCTTTAGCTTGGCTCTACCTTAAGGGGAAATATAACCTCAAATGGCTTAGCAAGATCCTCCGTTATGCCGAAAGTATTGCAGCATTAATTTTGAAATAAATA